TGGTCTCTCTTTATGTAGTGTTGTGGTGTCTCTCTTTATTAGTTGTGTCTCTATTTTTTCCTAGTTTTTTATGTTGTGTGTCTTCTTTATGAGTGTGTGTCTCTCTTTATGTAGTTTGTGGTTCTCTCTTTATGTAGTGTTGTGGTGTCTCTCTTTTTAGTTTGTGGGTCTCCTTTATGTGTGTTGTGGGTCTCCTTTGTAGTGTTGGGTGTCTCTCTTATTAGTGTTTGGTGTCTCTCTTTATGTAGTGTTGTGTGTCTCTCTTTATGTAGTGTTTGTGGTGTCTCTTTATGTAGTGTTGTGGCGTCTCTCTTTATGTAGTGTTTGTGGCGTCTCTTTATGTAGTGTTGTGGCGTCTCTCTTATATAGTGTTTGTGGTGTCTCTCTTTATGTAGTGTTGTGGCGTCTCTCTTTATGTAGTGTTGTGTGTCGTCTCTCTTTATGTAGTGTTGTGGTGTCTCTCTTTATGTAGTGTTGTGGTGTCTCTTTATGTAGTGTTGTGGTGTGTCTCTTTATGTAGTGTTGTGTGTCTCTCTTTATGTAGTGTTGTGGTGTCTCTCTTTATGTAGTGTTGTGGCGTCTCTCTTTATGTAGTGTTGTGGCGTCTCTCTTTATGTAGTGTTGTGGCGTCTCTCTTTATGTAGTGTTGTGGCGTCTCTCTTTATGTAGTGTTGTGGTGTCTCTCTTGTCTTGATGTGTGTTTTGTCCTATATTTTTATTTTTAATCCCAGCCCCCGTCCCCGCAGGAGGCCTTTTTCCTTTTGGTAGGCCGTCATTGTAAATAAGAATTTGTTCTTAACTGACTTGCCTAGTTAAATAAAGATTTTGAAATATATATATATATATATTATAGACAGACACAGTGGGTTTATTCATGATTCCTGCGGCCCAGGCAGAATATTACTGCACGTCACCAGGCTCACACAAACTAGAGGGGGAAGACAGTCACAGGAAAAAGAGGAGCGAGGGAGCAGAGGGGGGAAGGAGAGGAGGAGGGAAGAGAAGGAGCAGAGGCAAGAGGAGAGGAGAGGAGAGAGGGAGCAGAGGAGAGGAGAGGAGAGGAGAGGAGTCATAGGAGATGGCAGGGAGCGGAATAAGACCGGAGTAGGAGCCTTTCCATCTCGTCTCTTTCTCTCTCTCTCTAATGGCAGGAGATGAGATCTGTAGCAGAGGATGCTAGAGATTGAGCCGGAATGAGAGAGGGATGACGAGCTATTGCTAGGATTCTTCCCTTATTGATTCAGTGAGTACTTTTCGTTTATTTCATATTTTCGTCTATTAGTCATTTCATGTCCTTTTTCCATCTACTATAACTTTTGTACCCCCGTACTCTTTCTTTCTTCAACGTTATTTGACCTTTCACTCTCACTTATCTTTCACCCCCTACTCTTCTCCTTCTCTACTCTCTGCAACGATTTTGTTGTCTTGTGCCATTCATCACCTCACCTTTTCCTCTCCCTCTCTTTTCCCATGCTCATTGTAGACAAGTAACGCATTTGTAAACATTTGTTCTTGGGCCAAGTCCATTCACCACCATCAGGAGCAGTAAATACATGCTACTGCCCTTTTCTAAGAGCAAAGCATGTGGGTTTGAATTGGTAGAAGCTAGACGAACTCCTTTATCCACCATTATGTTAGTTTAGTGTCTTTATGGACGGATCACATTCATTACCATGTCTCTCTTTTGCACCTCAAGTCAATGTCTTGTAGCCTTGTATTTATGAAGCCAACATGTTGATACCAAGTAAGGTCTTTATTGGACTGGATAATGATCATAATAAGGTCTTTATTGGACTGGATAATGATCATAATAAGGTCTTTATTGGACTGGATAATGATCATAATAAGGTCTTTATTGAACAGGATAATGATCATAATAAAGGTAATTATTGAACAGGATAATGATCATAATACAGTCATTATTGAACAGGATAATGATCATAATAAGGTCTTTATTGAACAGGATAATGATCATAATAAGGTCTTTATTGAACAGGATAATGATCATAATACAGTCGTTATTGAACAGGATAATGATCATAATAAGGTCGTTATTGAACAGGATAATGATCATAATACAGTCATTATTGAACAGGATAATGATCATAATACAGTCATTATTGAACAGGATAATGATCATAATAGCTGTGTTGTTTCCCTCCAGACATCCAGGGGAAGAGTGATGTCATCCAAAGCTCTTCATCCTCATCGTTGTCAACGGTAATGACAGCGGAGGCCGAACCCCCGACCCCGCCCACGGAGGACAGCGTCACCACCCCACGTACCCAGATAACAGTGGCCAAGAAACAGCAGTGGGCCAAACTGGCCTCCACACCCAGAGAGCCACCCCCCACAGGGCTTAAGCCTGGTCACAGGTTTGCGTCATAGCACTCGGAAAAAGGGCCCAGGCCTCGGCCTCCAAACGGCCGGACCCAAAAACTTAGGGAGGCCGGGCCCGGACAGGAGGAGGTGTGATGATTTAGATCGGGGGACACGCCCCCCCTTTCTATGACCCCCTCCCCCCCTGTCCCACCGCTCCCGAGGACCACCCTGTGGGGGCGCTGATTTGTGTCCCCTCCTTTGGTAGTCCCCCGGGGGCAGGGATCTCCAGACCCCGGACGGGCCCGCCTGGGTACTTCCACAGAAAAACCCTGCGACAGCATCCTCGCGTTAGGGTCCTCCCCCAATCTTCACTGAGCTGAGGCAACGCACAGAGGGGGAGAACAACATTTGGTACAACCCTATTCCAGAGGAAAGGGAGTTTGCGGGGCTAGGACGTTTTTTGAGGAGGGGGGGGGGAGGGGTGAGGGGGAGGGGAGGGGGGGGGTTTTTTTTTTTTTTTTTTCCGGGGGTTTTTGGGGGGGAAGGAGGGGTTTGGTTTCAAAAACCCCTGGGAGGAAACGGGGCTTCGAAATTGGGACCCCAATGGGAGCCGCGGGGGGCGGGCCTGTGGGACCCCCGGGCCCCCATGGAGGTGGGGGCCCCCCCTTTTTAAGCGTATCCACCCAAACCTCCCCTTAGGTGGCCCCAGCCCGGGCAACCCACCGGACCCAACCCAACTTAACATCAGCCTGGCATGGAGAGACGAAGGGGAGGAGAGGGCCCAGTAGTCATAGTAGAAAAAGCTACGTAGCAAACAAGATAAATTTAAAAGTTCATAGACCAAATATGAGCTTCTTTCTAATATCCGTTCACCCCCAGATAAATAAGTAGTTGCTAGGTTTTACACAGTCAAATTAACAATATTTTATTTTTATAATGAACTGTAAAAAATTATACATTTGTGATATCAATTTTTTTTATTTTTTTTTTTGAATCAATACATAATTGAGATCTTTATTAAAACATTTCATTTGAATTTTTAGCATTTGCAGCTCTTTTTCCAGAGACTTTACAGTTAGTTCATCTTAAGACCCCGGGAGACAACCAATATCACGTCAAATATAAAAATAGGGAAAACTCCAGCTGTAACTTGGGTCAGGAAGGGAAGTACAGGGAGGGGAATTTAATAAAAATAAAAAATGGAACAAAACAGAAACAAGTAGGCCCAGACATGAACCACAGGGCGAATCCTAACGCCTGGGGGAAAGGAAACCCAAAGGGGGTTACTATAAGGAGGTCATCAGGAAGGTGATGGGGTCCAGGGGAGTCTCATATACCCCAGGGGGGCCGAACCCAGGGGGGCAGGGGGTGCGAAGAACAGCCACGGCGACCGGAGCCGGGGAGGGGAGGGGGAAGGACACCACAAACAAGGAATCCCAGCTTTGGGGAAAAAAACACCAAAAAAAAAAAAGGAACAAAAAACACACAAAGAAGGCCCCCGCAACACGGGAAGAAAAAACAAAGGGGAAAAGGGGGAACTTTTTAAAAAACCCCAAAAAGCACGCACCAAAAACCCCCGAACCCCCCCCACCACCCCCCCCCCCCCCACCCCCCCCTCCCCCCACTCCCCCCCCCCCCCCCCCCCCCCCCCCCCCCCCCCCACCCCCTCCCCCCACCCCCCCCCTTCCCAAACCCTCCCCACCCCCCCCCCCCCCCCCGGGCCCCCCCCCCCTCCCCCCCCCCCCCCCCCCCCCCCCCCCCCGCCCCCCCCCCCCCCCCCCCCCCTTCCCCCATCCCCCCCAGGGGCCCCCCCCCCCCCCCCCCTTTCCCCCCCCCCCCCCCCCCCCCCCCCCCCCCCCCCCACCCCCCCCCTCTCCCACTCCCCCCCCCCCCCCCCCTCCCCCCCCCCACCCCCCCCTCTTTCCAACCCCCCCCCCCCCCCCCCCCCCCCCCCCCCCCCCCCCCCCCCCCTTCCCGCCCCCCCCCCCCCCCTCCCCCCCCCCCCCCTTTCCCCCCCCCCCCACCCGCCCCCCTCCCCCCCCAACCCCGCCCCCCCCCCCCACCCCCCCCCCGGGAAGGGGGGCCCCCCCCCCCCCCCCCCACCCCCCCCCCCCCCCCCCCCCCACCCCCCCACCCCCCCCCCCCCCCCCCCCCCCCCCTCCCCCTTCCCCTCCCCCCCCACCCCCCCCCCCCCCCCCCCCCCCCCCCCCCCACCCCCCAAACCCCCCCCTCCGCCCCCCCCCCCCCACCCCCCCCTCCCCCCCCCCCGCCCCCCCCCCTCCCCACCCCCCCCCCCCCCCTTTCCCCACCCCCCTTTCCCTCTTCCCCCCCATCCCCCTCTCCCCCCCCTCTCCCCTCCGTCTCTCTCCTCTCTCCATCCCATCTCAGCTGTAATTCAACAGATCCAGTGTGAGGAACTGCAATCTTTCACGGCTGCAGGTGCAGAAGGGGGTGTATCCAGCGCCGGAGGGGGTTTGTCTGTCCCCTCAGACAGCCCCGGGGCCCAGAAGAAAGGGGGCGTGGCCAGCAGCATGATGGACAGGATCAAATCCCCGGGAACGGTCCGGAAATCCCTGTCCATGAAGATGAGGAAACTCCCCGAACTCCGCCGTAAACTCAGCCTGCGCTCCTCGCGCTCCCATCGCCATGGGAAGGAGGGAACGGGCAGAGGAGGAGGGGACGGAGGTGGAGAGGGGACCTCACCCCCAAACGTCCGTAAGGAGCAGTCCAACGAGGTGATCAGCAGGTACCACCTGGATACTTCGGCCCCGGCGAGACCGCAACGACGCTCCTCCAGGGGACGTTCCTTTGCCGCCAGTAAGGGGGGCTACCTAAGCGACGGAGACTCACCTGAGCTGCTCCCCAAACAGGGCCGGGGTGGAACAGGGGGACCCCCCTCTGCCCACAACACCCCTCCTCCACCCCCTCACTCCACCCACCACTCCAGCCAGGAGGGAGTGACCATGACATCTGACCTGAGCTCGTTCAGAGTCTACAGCGTGTCGGACCAGCCACGGTGCGCCCAGCGTGTCTCCGGCCTGCTCACGGTGCACCTCGTTGGGGTGGAGAAACTGCTGAGGTCCCCTAAACAGGACGCCAGTAAGGAGGTGTTCTGTGCCATCCAGGTGATTTTTAATAAAGTATCTATCTATCTATCTGTCTATCTGTCTGTCTATCTGTCTATCTGTCTGTCTGTCTATCTGTCTGTCTGTCTGTCTGTCTGTCTGTCTGTCTGTCTGTATTGTAATTAGAATAATTGAGAATAACACAAAACAGTGTAACTTATTTCCATTGTGGTCATCAGGTGGATGGGGTGACCAGGGCCCGCACCGGCCTGCTGACCTCCAGGGGGGGCTCACTGCCCCTCAACCACACCTTTAACCTGGAACTGGAGAGGGCCAGGCAGCTGAAACTGGTGGTGCTCACCCCTTCCCCTGGGGCTGAGACTAGCACCACGAAGGGCAGCGACTCCACAGCACCGGCCAGGAACAGGGTCTGCTGTCTGGGGGCTGTGTCCATACCCCCGCTGTTCAAAGGTAGGAGCACCAGAGAGAGTTAAAAGTCATATGATACGTAGTAGATGAAGTTCTATGTATACCTGTTGTTGTTGTTGTTGTTTTACAATCCACTTCACTGATGCTTGGCAATGTGAGGCTGCAGCAGAAGGGTTTTCCATACCAGTGGACTTTATTTTGTCTGAAGGCATCTTAGCTAACCTAGTTCCTGATCTTTTGGAATCACTCTGTCAATCAACTTTATTTTTCCTTCTCTTGTTCGTTCTCCCCTTCTGTCCCTCTCCTTCCCCTTGTGCTATCTCTTCTGTCCTTCCTTCCCCTTGTGCTATCTCTTCTGTCCCTCTCCTTCCCCTTGTGCTACTCTTCGTCCCCTCCTTCCCCTTGTGGCTATCCTTCTGTCCTTCTTCCCCTTGTGCTATCTCTTCTGTCCCTCTCCTTCCCCCTTGCTATCTCTTCTGTCCCTCTCATTCCCCTTGTGCTATCTCTTCTGTCTCTCTCCTTCCCCTTGTGCTTTCTTCTGTCCTCTCCTCCCCTTGTGCTATCTCTTCTGTCCCTCTCCTTCCCCTGTGCTATCTCTTCTGCTCTCTCCTCCCCCTTGTGGTATCTCTCTGTCCCTCTCCTCCCCTTGTGCTATCTCTTCTGTCCTCTCTCCTTCCCCTTGTGCTATCTCTTCTGTCCCTCTCCTTCCCCTTGTGCTATCTCTTCTGTCCCTCTCCTCCCCCTTGTGCTATCTCTTCTGTCCCTCTCCTTCCCCTTGTGCTATCTCTTCTGTCTCTTCCCCTGTCTACCTCTCTTCCCTGTGCTATCTCTTCTGTCCCTCTCCTTCCCCTTGTGCTATCCTCTTTCTGTCCTCTCTCCTTCCCCTTGTGCTATCTCTTCTGTCCCTCTCCTTCCCTTGTGCTATCTCTTCTGTCCCTCTCCTTCCCCTTGTGCTATCTCTTCTGTCCTCTCCTTCCCTTGTGCTATCTCTTCTGTGCCCTCTCCTTCCCCTTGTGCTATCTCTTCTGTCCCTCTCCTTCCCCTTGTGCTATCTCTTCTGTCCCTCTCCTTCCCCTTGTGCTATCTCTTCTGTCCTCTCCTTCCCCTTGTGCTATCTCTTCTGTCCCTCTCCTTCCCCTTGTGCTATCTCTTCTGTCCCTCTCCTTCCCCTTGTGCTATCTCTTCTGTCCTTCTCCTTCCCCTTGTGCTATCTCTTCTGTCCCTCTCCTTCCCCTTGTGCTATCTCTTCTGTCCCTCTCCTTCCCCTTGTGCTATCTCTTCTGTGCCTCTCCTTCCCCTTGTGCTATCTCTTCTGTCCCTCTCCTTCCCCTTGTGCTATCTCTTCTGTCTCTCTCCTTCCCCTTGTGCTATCTCTTCTGTCCCTCTCCTTCCCCTTGTGCTATCTCTTCTGTCCCTCTCCTTCCCCTTGTGCTATCTCTTCTGTCCCCCTCCTTCCCCTTGTGCTATCTCTTCTGTCTCTCTCCTTCCCCTTGTGCTATCTCTTCTGTCGCTCTCCTTCCCCAGCCTCTCGGTCTCAGCAGATATGCGTGAGGTTAGAGCCCAGGGGTCTACTGTATGTGAAGCTGACTCTGCTGGAGCAATGGGAACCCCCCGACCCCCGACCCTGCCACCTCAACCCCCCCATGGTGTTTGGAGTGGAGCTCCGCCACCTGGTGGACAAGGAGAACTCTGCGGTCCATGTTCCTCTGCTCATACAGAAGAGTGTGGCTGAGATCCAGAAGAGAGGACTGAAGGTTAGTTAGTTTACAGCACACTGTTTCATACACAGGACAACAAACCCACCTCATTTACATTTACATTTTATATTTTAGTCATGTAGCAGACGCTCTTATCCAGAGCGACTTACAGTTAGTGAGTGCATACCAATTTTTCACAACATTTTTCATACATTTACACCGTTTCATACACAGGACAACAACCCCACCTCTAATTTCCACAGATATGGACTCTATAGAGGTCAAATAAACCAGCTGGAACATATTAATGTTGATGTGTCTGAATGGTTTTGGTTGTCTCATGTCTGTCTAGATGGTGGGTCTGTGGTTCATGTATGGTTAATTCATGGTTGTGTCTGTCTGTCTGTCTGTCTGTCTAGGTGGTGGGTCTGTGGTTCATGTATGGTTCATTCATGGTTGTGTCTGTCTGTCTGTCTGTCTGTAGGTGGTGGGTCTGTACCGTCTGTGTGGGTCAGCTGCAGTAAAGAAGGAACTGAGAGATGCGTTTGAGAGGGACAGTGCTGCTGTCAGCCTGAATGAAGAGCTCTATCCTGACATCAACGTCATCACAGGTCAGTCCCCTATCCCCATACACCAGTCTCTATCAGCATCATCACAGGTCAGTCCCCTATCCCCATACACCAGTCTCTATCAGCATCATGACAGGACAGTCCCCTGTCCCCATACACCAGTCTCTATCAGCATCATCACAGGTCAGTCCCCTGTCCCCATACACCAGTCTCTATCAGCATCAACATCATCACAGGTCAGTCCCCTATCCCCATACACCAGTCTCTATCAGCATCATCACAGGTCAGTCCCTTATCCCCATACACCAGTCTCTATCAGCATCATCACAGGTCAGTCCCCTATCCCCATACACCAGTCTCTATCAGCATCATCACAGGTCAGTCCCCTATCCCCATACACCAGTCTCTATCAGCATCATCACAGGTCAGTCCCTTATCCCCATATACCAGTCTCTATCAGCATCATCACAGGTCAGTCCCCTATCCCCATACACCAGTCTCTATCAGCATCATCACAGGTCAGTCCCCTATCCCCATACACCAGTCTCTATCAGCATCATCACAGGTCAGTCCCCTATCCCCATACACCAGTCTCTATCAGCATCATCACAGGTCAGTCCCCTATCCCCATACACCAGTCTCTATCAGCATCATCACAGGTCAGTCCCCTGTCCCCATACACCAGTCTCTATCAGCATCATCACAGGTCAGTCCCCTATCCCCATACACCAGTCTCTATCAGCATCATCACAGGTCAGTCCCCTATCCCTATACACCAGTCTCTATCAGCATCATCACAGGTCAGTCCCCTATCCCCATACACCAGTCTCTATCAGCATCATCACAGGTCAGTCCCCTATCCCCATATACCAGTCTCTATCAGCATCATCACAGGTCAGTCCCCTACCCCCATACACCAGTCTCTATCAGCATCATCACAGGTCAGTCCCCTATCCCCATACACCAGTCTCTATCAGCATCATCACAGGTCAGTCCCTTGTCCCCATACACCAGTCTCTATCAGCATCATCACAGGTCAGTCCCCTGTCCCCATACACCAGTCTCTATCAGCATCATCACAGGTCAGTCCCCTGTCCCCATACACCAGTCTCTATCAGCATCATCACAGGTCAGTCCCCTATCCCCATACACCAGTCTCTATCAGCATCATCACAGGTCAGTCCCCTGTCCCCATACACCAGTCTCTATCAGCATCATCACAGGTCAGTCCCCTATCCCCATACACCAGTCTCTATCAGCATCATCACAGGTCAGTCCCCTATCCCCATACACCAGTCTCTATCAGCATCATCACAGGTCAGTCCCCTATCCCCATACACCAGTCTCTATCAGCATCATCACAGGTCAGTCCCCTATCCCCATACACCAGTCTCTATCAGCATCATCACAGGTCAGTCCCCTATCCCCATACACCAGTCTCTATCAGCATCATCACAGGTCAGTCCCCTATCCCCATACACCAGTCTCTATCAGCATCATCACAGGTCAGTCCCTTATCCCCATACACCAGTCTCTATCAGCATCATCACAGGTCAGTCCCCTATCCCCATACAACAGTCTCTATCAGCATCAACACAGGTCAGTCCCCTATCCCCATACACCAGTCTCGATCAGCATCATCACAGGTCAGTCCCCTATCCCCATACACCAGTCTCTATCAGCATCATCACAGGTCAGTCCCCTATCCCCATACACCAGTCTCTATCAGCATCATCACAGGTCAGTCCCCTATCCCCATACACCAGTCTCTATCAGCATCATCACAGGTCAGTCCCCTATCCCCATACACCAGTCTCTATCAGCATCATCACAGGTCAGTCCCCTATCCCCATACACCAGTCTCTATCAGCATCATCACAGGTCAGTCCCCTATCCCCATACACCAGTCTCTATCAGCATCATCACAGGTCAGTCCCTTGTCCCCATACACCAGTCTCTATCAGCATCATCACAGGTCAGTCCCCTATCCCCATACACCAGTCTCTATCAGCATCATCACAGGTCAGTCCCCTATCCCCATACACCAGTCTCTATCAGCATCATCACAGGTCAGTCCCCTATCCCCATACACCAGTCTCTATCAGCATCATCACAGGTCAGTCCCCTATCCCCATACACCAGTCTCTATCAGCATCATCACAGGTCAGTCCCTTATCCCCATACACCAGTCTCTATCAGCATCATCACAGGTCAGTCCCCTATCCCCATACAACAGTCTCTATCAGCATCAACACAGGTCAGTCCCCTATCCCCATACACCAGTCTCGATCAGCATCATCACAGGTCAGTCCCCTATCCCCATACACCAGTCTCTATCAGCATCATCACAGGTCAGTCCCCTATCCCCATACACCAGAAAGAAAACAAATAGAACATCTGGGTGAAGTAGGCAATAATGTCCTTTCTTTTTCGGCATCAGACCTGCCTAATTTTCACTTGAAACATGTTTTTTTGTGCTTAATAGGCGAAATCATATCACATTTTATTCGTCACATGCTTCGTAAGCAACAGTGATGTGTACACCGAGGAACTTGAAGCTCTCGTCCCGTCAATGTGAATGGGGGTGTGCTCGGCTCTCCGTTTCCTATAGTCCACAATCAGCTCCTTTGTCATGCTGACTTTGAGGGAGAGGTTTTTCTCCTGGCACCACCTTGGCAGGTCTCTGACCTCCTCCCTATAGGCTGTCTCATCGTCGTCGATTAGGCCTACCACCGTCGTGTCGTCGGCAAACTTAATGATGGTGTTGGAATCGTGCCTGGCCACGCAGTCGTGGGTGAACAGGGAGAACAGGAGGGTCTAAGCACGCACCCCTGAGGGACCCCCGTGTCGCACCCCTGAGGGGCCCCCGTGTTGCACCCCGGAGGGGCCCCCGTGTTGAGGGTCAGTGTGGCGGATGTGTTGTTGCCTACCCTCATCACCTGGGGGGTCCCGTCAGGAAGACCAGGATCCAGTCGCAGAGGGAAGTGTTCAGTCCCAGCGTCCTTAGCTTAGTGATGAGCTTGGAGGGCACTATGGTGTTGAATGCTGAGCTGTAGTCAATGAAGAGCATTCTCACGTAGGTGTTCCTTTTGTCCAGGTGGGAAAGGGCAGTGTGGAGTGCAATAGAGATTGGTCATCTGTGGATCTGTTGGGGCGGTATGTGAATTGGAGTCAGTCCAGGGTGTCTGAAATGATGGTGTTGATGTGAGCCATGACCAGCTTTTCAAAGCATTTCATGGCTACAGATGTGAGTGCTACGGAGCGATAGTCATTTAGACAGATTACCTTGGCGTTCTTGGGCACAGGGACTATGGTGGTCTGCTTGAAACATGTAGATATTACAGATTGGGTCAGGAAGAGTTTGAAAATGTCAGTGAAGACACTTTCCAGCTGGTCAGCGCATGCTCTGAGTATGCATCATGTTAATCAGTCTGGCCCTGAGGCCTTGTGAATGTTAACCGGTTTAAAGGTCTTACTCACATCGGCTACGGAGAGCGTGATCACATGGTCGTCTGGAACAGCTGGTGCTCTCACGCATGGTTCAGTGTTGCTTGCTTCGAAGCGAGCTTATATGGCATTTTGCTCATCTGGTAGGCTCGCATCACTGGGCAGCTCGCGGCTGGGTTTCCCTTTGTATTCCGTGATAGTTTGCAAGCCCTGCCACATCCGACGAGCGTCAGAGCCGGTGTAGTAGGATTCGATCTTAGTCCTGTATTGACGCTTTACCTGTTTGATGGTTTGTCGGAGGGCGTGGCAGGATTTCTTATAAGCGTCCGGGTTAGTGTCCTGCTCCTTGAAAGAGGCAGCTCTAGCCTTTAACTCAGTGCAGATGTTGCCTGTAATCCATTGTTTCTGGTTGGGATATGCACGTACGGTCACTGTGGGGACAACGCCGTCGATGCACTTATTAATGAAACCGGTGACTGACGTGGTAAACTCCTCATTGACATCGGATGAATCCTGGAACATATTCCAGGCTGTGCTAGCACATTCTGTTAACATACAGTGCATTTGGAAAGTATTCAGACCCCATCACGTTACAGCCTTATTCTAAAATTGATTAAATAGTTTCTTTTCCCTCATCAATCTACACACAATACCCCATAATGACAAAGCAAAAACAGGTTCTTAGACATTTTTGCAAAAAAAAAGAATACTGAAGTATTCAGACCCTTTACTCAGTACTTTGTTGAAGCATCTTTGGCAGCGATTACAGCCTCGAGTCTTATTGAGTATGATGCTACAAGCTTGGCACACCTGTATTTGGGGAGTTTCTCCCATTCTTCTCTGCAGATCCTCTCAAGCTCTGTCAGGTTGGATGGGGAGCGTTGCTGCACAGCTATTTTCATGTCTCTCCAGAGATGTTCGATCGGGTTCAAGTCCGGGAGCTGGCTGGGCCACTCAAGGACATTCAGAGA